GAAGTATAGACCTGAAAGAACATTCCTCCATTTCAAGCAAAATAAGAAAAAGACTGAAATATGTATGAATTATGATTTTCTACACTTCAAGGAATTATAAAACAAGGGTTAAATTAGTGTTTGCAGGGTTGTTTAAACTTTACTGTGTCCATAAGAAATGAAGTATTGCCAAGTCCTCACAAGGGCTGACATTTTCCAGAAGAATTATTACAAGACTGCTACAAATTCCATATAGGACACATAATCAAATGTTCTGCTTAACATCATAATTGCACTGAGCACACTGCGGTGTGATGTTATACAAAGTGTGACTTCCCCGGGCACCTTCTGACTGAGCCAACAAAGATCCCGAGGTGCAGAGGGCTGAAAATGAAAGCGGGGTATTTATTATGATGGCAGGCATACTTCTGATTCAGAGACTGAAATGAGAAAAGGGCAGAAACAAGGAGAGAAGAAATCCTTGAGGGGATTTGGAAAAGGTGGCATCACTGTTTTCACAGCACTTGAGGTCCTAGGTTTATCAGTGTTGTTTGTAATGGTTGAACATTCAGTGTTGCTCGGGGTTGAGTCCAAATTGAAAGGGGTTGCCTCTTGGTAAAAGCAGCATTTTTATTATCCCTCAAACAAGGTTTGCAGTGAAGGATTTACCCTTTGCCCCTCGTTTTCCTCTGCAAGGAGAAGGAATCTCATGCAGGGCTGTGGTAAGCAATGTAGAGCTGTGGGTTAGGTGCAGCTTTGCTAGACTGCATAAGATAAGACTCTGTAAGATGAGACTAGACCTGGCAGCTTCCAAGGGTCTGAACCTCTCAGTCCCACTGGTGAGTGCCATGTCAGCCGTGGGAAGGGGCTACCTTCTCCTTAGGTAACACGATTCTTGTTGAAAGCTTGTACCACCACTGATGGTACTTTTTCAAATTATCTTGGCATTCAGTGAAATATCGTTTTCATGCTGATCCTATCTACCTAATTGCATTTTTGAAAAATGTTTTCTGGTTGAGCATTTGGATGACCCAATTTTTTTTTCTTTATTGGTACTCTTAAGACCGCCAGGTGGGCCAGTGTAGCTTTGCTCTCTGAGCCATGCATGAATATTTTAGAAGACTGGTAAAACTTGCTTATAGCACATTGGTTTTGCAATAAAATGGTTATTACAATTGTTAAAATTCTTGATAATTTATTTTAACTACTTATTTTTCCTGGCAGGTCCTTAAGAGGAAGGGAAAGGGGGAAAATGTGAAACAGAAAATAGCAAGTTAAAATTAATCAAATCTTTTTCCTGACAAGTTTATGGTAACAAAGTGTTACTATACGATGCTTTGTCTTAGTAGTCATGCTGAATAATTCCTCTGCATACAGAGCACGGTTTAGTTTCTCCTTATTAGATCATCTTTATGAGGTGTCCACTTTATTTGGTCTCTGGAGAGCTCTTGGTATTTGCAAAATTACTTTAAATATGTTAAATATGAATACTTTGAATTAAGCTGTTTTAAAATAGTCCTTTGAGGAACTGCTGCAAGTCAGCGATTAAAGAGAAAATAAGGGTTAAACATACCTATTCTACCTCCTCCTTGGCTGCTACCTCTGTTAGCTTCCAGAGTGGTTCTTGGCCTCGGTTTTCCATTCAGCCTGAAGTGCAGCAGAGATGTGCCTACGCCGTGGTGTGGTTGCGCCATGGATGGGGTGAGATGTGGGTGGCGTGGTCTCCCATCCAGGGTAGCTGGGCTCTAACTTCCAGCAGAGTTGGAGTCTTGCTAAGAAAGAAAAACAGTTTCTGGGGAAAACAGAACAGATACTTGTTTTACTTCCCCCTTGCGGCTGTGTTATTCAGAGATAACTTTGCTATTTCGTTACCTACACATCCCTATTTCTAGGGAGGCAAATGTAGGCCACCACTAAAAGGTCCCCCACAGAAAATGGTGCTGAATGGTTCTGCTTCAAGTTCATGGCTCACTTGGTATTTACTGGTTGTTAGCAACAGAGCCAGCTGACGCCCTGCCAAAGTTACCCATCAAATAACCCAGCAGAGCTTTAACAGGGCAATTATTTCACATTTTTGCAGGAAGAAAGGAATATGGCTGTCTAGCAGAAATTCTTAGCGAGCTTCCTTTCATTTTTCATGCTGAGGTTACAGAGAACAGTGGTGTGTGATGCTTCAGAAACCTTTTCTTGTTCCTTTCCTTCCTATGTCTCTGCTTAAAGGCTTGGCTTTAAGTGGTTTCTTGTTCCTTTCCTTCCTAAGTCTGTCCTTAGAGGCTAGGCTTTCAGTGGAGGTAGTATTTAGGGAAAAGTCTATGAGTTTTAAATAGTTTTTCTGAGGTTCAGGGATAACAAATTTGTCCATACTGATTCTTTAGTGGTTCCTGGGGGATACTTTCATCAGAAAGCTATCCCAGGCATGTTATGCAGCTAATCATTCCTGTGGATTTTTACTGCGGATGATACAGAGGTCCAACATGCTTAACAATTTATAGCAATTAAGTCTTAATTTGAAGTTAATAAAAGGTATGGGTTTATGCCCATGTGGTAAGGTTGCACTTACAGTATTTGATACATTTTTGTAAACTATTTATTGACTGTGTATTTTATATACAATTTTGATTGTAATTTTTTTAGCAACAAAATTGTGCTACTAAAAAGCACAAATGAGTTTTTCTGTGAAGCGCATGTCTAGACTTGTGTTAATTTAAACTTCAAGTGTGATTTTTAAAACTGACCCCCTCAAACTTCTTATTTACCCTGGCGTGACTTATTTCAATTTAGCTTAAATCAGCAAGCAATTAAATCCAGAGAAGACTATGCACAGAGAGGGTTGTATAGACCTAAGTGAGCAAGTTTTAGTCAACTCTGTTCTATTGAATCAAGGCTCCTTTTTGCTTAAAAAATGCTTTAAAATGACTTTGAGTCACTTCCCTACATAAAATCTTGTAACCCGAGTGATGTATTAAATTAAAACTAAATCAAAGGTTAGCGCCTGAGAGCAGTCATACACTGCAGTGATGTACATCTTGACAAGTGAAGGGTTTACAAACAGATTTCTCTCAGGGAAGAAAAGCAATTGACACCCAATTAGTGTTAAAGCATATTCCTAAAGCTCAATGACTTGAGAGCAAATTATAGTTGTCATTGTGGATTTGTGAAGCGTGTTGAACAATGATGCATTCCTTCGGAGGGAAGTTGCTCAGACATGAAAGTATAAAACAAGCACAGCAAGTACGAGTTCTCTGCATTTCTATAATATCTGTGCTTCAATAAAACAAATTTGTAAAGTAACCATGAGGTCAATTGGATGCATTTTTACCCATTTCTTCTGCTTGTTAAAAACCTGTTGATGGCTCACCAAACTTTGAACCGGACTGTGTGGTACATCAGTCCCTGTCCTCCCTGCCATTCGTGGGCCCTTGGTTTTGTAGCTGTAGGCTGTCACAGAGATGGCAGTCTGTGCCCGAGCAAAATGACACGGGGGAAGGGTTTTTGCTGCATGACTGGTAAGGTGTGGGCTTGTTGCTCTCAGTTTCTGAGCAGGGCTTTTCCTCCTTAGAGTGGGAGATCAGTGGAGTGTGATGGTGATCAGGGAAACCCTCATCAACAAGGGAGGTTTTCAAACTTCTTTGCTCTTCCTTTATTTGCATACTCTTCATACGGAATAGCCCCAAGCCTGGACTTCATTATCAGTAAACCATTTTAGCAAGATTATGCAAGAGGAAGAGGAGAGAAGATGTCATTTACAAATACACATGAGATTGGGAAATAAGCTTATTGCTTATTTGACTCATTTAAGGAAAGCTTGTGTTTGAATATGGGTGAAGAAGCACAGTTATACATCAGAAAAGGAATTACCTATTCACAGCCACCCTAAGCTGTTGATCTGGTACGCTTTAGCAAATGCAGCGTCCCTCGTAGCAATGCCCCTGCCACACGCTTGGACCTGGCATCCTGTGGTGGTGCAGCTGGCTGCGTGGGACCACCTTGCTGCCTGCATGCACAACAGCTATCGTCCCGGTGCGAGGGCTGCGGCACGTCTGCCACCATCCTGGCAGCCCATGCCCCGCAGGCGTGGCCAGGCCATGGAGTCGGCAGGCAGCGCTCGCCTGGAGCCGGCTGGTAACCCATCTCATGCAGCTTGCATGGCTTCGGTCATCCTCTTGATTCAGCAGCTTCAATGTTGTCCTGAATAAGGATGCTTTTCTCAGCTGGAAGCAGGGACTACTTAGAGATGAAGTAATTAAATCGCACTGTTCATGAAAAGCCCTCACTGTTAATTTACAGTATTTGTCATAGATCCTGGAATACAGTCACGGAAACAAAGACTGAATTGAGAACAAAAGGAGGGAACTTATTTGAGAAATTTAAATTTCCAACAAATTTCATAACAATTTCAAATATGTCTGCTTGTTTGAATTGATTTTAAGAATCCTCTCCAAGGTTCTAGGTACCTAAGGAGAAGTTCAGCATTTTCTGATTTTCCTTCTTTGCAAGCTCATTGCTCAAGAAAGGGATAACAATTATACCGCAATTAAGAGCTTAAGAGAGAAATGGAATCTGAATATTCTTTCTGTTCAGTACCAGTTTTGGAAACCTTGCTCTGTCTCCTGTAGCTGACGCAGAATGTAGGAAGGGGTAAGGAAGGGTGAAGGTAGACTCATCCATAAGGAAGAGAGAAATCTTAAAATAAGTACGAAAACAGGAAATCCGAGAGGAAGCTCTCACAAACTTAATGGCAGCTAAGTCTACATGCTGCAAATAGGGAATTTAAATACATATAAAGCCTTGTAAAATACAGTATTGAAGAAACATAATTACATTCACATCATCTGTTACTTCTTCTTTTAGCATGAATAATGAAAGATTTTGGTTTATTTTAGAAGAATTGTCCATCATTATTTTAATTTTATTATTTTTCAGGTAGTGATATTAAACTTCTATTAGCTATTATACCAATTAATACTGCTGTAAATTTTATTTTAATTTTCTTAATTAGTTTGACCATCTTCTCTTTGCAGGAACCTCATCCTTCTGGAATAAGACCTGAAAGTGGTCCACAAGCGGGTGGAACCACACTTACCATCACTGGTACAAACCTGGCCACCGGTTCCAAGAAGGATGTTCGAGTTTCAGTCGGTAGCCAGCCTTGCAATGTGTACGTACCCTGAGTAATTAACAATACAGAGCTGTATCCTAACAAAGCACCAACCTTTTCTGGCCTTTAGAAATTACACAAATCCATTGTCTATCTCTTCATGACTCATCCCATGCAATGGAGCTCTGCACGTAACGTTCAAACAGAAACTCTCTCAGAGGCTCCAGCTGGAAGAGGCAGCTGTAAAAACAACCAGAGTGGGAGAAATCAGATATCCAAAAAAGTTTCCAGTTTCAGCTTTCTCTGCTTGACTGGCTGCTCCAAACCCACCCATGCTTTCACTCAGCATCTCAGTAGTTCCATATAAAATCTTAATCTTCTAGTGCCCCTCGGCTTGTTCCTCTTACTTCTTTTTCCTTTTATTAATTGCTGCTCTTCTTCCCCCCCCCAAAAAAATGAAATGACATGAAGTGTGCTGACATTGCTTTGTTCTTGTGTTTGCACACTATTCCTTTTCATATCCTGTATCTTTTTTAAAGATCCGAAGTGACCTGGAGAAAGAGTTGTCTCCTCTCATAACTACTCAGTGCCTAGCAGAAATAGAGCCCTTTTTTTGTTGCTTCTGGGGTACTACCATAAGGAATACAAATCACCATAATGTTAGTAACTGAAGATGTTTCCTCTTCTTTTTCTTCTCCAATCTAGCACTGAATTTGGAGACGAGATTGTTTGTATTACAGGACCTAATAGCAAGGTTGAAGGTGTTGAAGTCACAATGGACTATGGGGGCATGCCAATTAATGTACCAGGGCTGTTTTCATACAGTGAGAACCCTACTGTCACCAAGTTCCTGCCAGTAAATAGCTTTAGCAGGTAATAAAATGTTTGTCATAACTTCATTTACAATACAGTTAAAATATGTGTAATATGTAATAAACCTATTACATATAGAACTGTTTGAAATAAAAACTCCTTTACTCTAGCCATGCACACATTTAGATACAGAGTTTGTAATCTTTCTTAACCGCAGCTGATGTTTGAAAGTATGCTGTTTACCTCCAAACTTTAATTCCCACTTCAAAGGTAAATTCTGAAACCAGAAAAGGTAATGAGCTTCTTTTAAATGAAGGTATCTCAAAGAAAGAGATTTGAAGCATTTCACCATGATGTCAGACAACATGATCTTTGCGTTACTCACAAATCCTTGTCCTGTCTAAAGGAGAGATCATCATCTGAAAGTGATATAAAAGGTTTCTAACAGTTTTTCTGTTCAGCTTTTAATAAGTAAGCTGGAAAGAGAGGAAAGGTATAGCTTGTCATCTCATCATTATCCCATGAGGAAAAAAAGTGTCTCTTTAGGAAATCTAGATCAGGGTTCAATAAGGCTTTTAAAACATATGCTCTCTCCTGTGGTGGTACTCATCAACACCCCATCTGGTAGCTGCTCCTTCTGGAAAAAAGCTCATGTAGTATTAATTGTGAAACCAAAGAAACGTATGCCACTCTTATATTTGTAGCAAAATGGAAGATCGTCAGTATAAATGTCCTTGTAGCATACCTCTGGTTTTGAGAGTCATTCTGTGACCAACACAGGGACAAACTTGTGACCTTGACTCATGTTGGTCTCTGCTGTTCCCTAATATTCTGGTCTTTCTGCCTAGTGGGGTACAGTTGGCAGAGAGAGATCATGATGTTTCCACTTTCTTTCAATAAAAAGAAGTGTAAGATCATGACCTTACAAATAGGACATTAAAAATAAAATTGGCTGTGACTTCTCGTGGAGAAATGGGTACCTGCCTCCTTGAATATTGAGTAATCACTTACATAAAATAGGATTTGTTTTTCATATTTGCTTTTGTCTTTGGTTTGGGTGGTTTTGGGGCCTGAAGGGTTTTTTTGGTAGATCAATAGTGATTCACCCCAGGGAATTTAAAAGACTTCTTTTTTTCCTCTGTATAAACCAAAGCTTACTTTAATGGATTACTTTGAGGATTGCTATCCCTCTAAATCCATGTTACTTCGATGACTTTAATTCCCACTGGCAACTTGCATGCATTCTTCTTATGTGAATGCATTATTTTTTAAACAATGTGTTACAAATGAAAGGGAATAAAAAGCCAGGTCCCTACAGACCTGTGGAAAATACACTCTTACCTTTGTCTCTGCGTGTGTGGTAGGTGGAGTGATTTTAACAAAAACACTGGAGAAGTAAAGCACACAAAGATAGGCATCAATGAACAGCCACAAATACTGACAAAGTGATTTGTACTTTTTTATTCTTCAATGAGTTTGAAGTTGACATTGCTGCTTTTAAATGCTGTGGTCATCGATAGCTTTAACAGAAGTCCTTTATGTAGGATATCTAATTGTCATATGGGCATTAGGTAGCTGTTTTCAGTGGAAGCAGCAGCAGCGCAGGATAAAGCAGTCCATAGCTGTGGTAGTTTGCCAATGACTTGACTTCTTTTTTAATTCTGCCTTTCAGTGGAGGGAGAAATATTACAGTAACTGGAACCGGGTTTGAGCTGATCCAGAGTTTCTCGTTGGCTGTATATGCAGAACGTCCAGAAGCAGGGAAACTGAATCTCAAAAGGGTAATTTTCTTTCTTTCCCCGCAAAGGCATCACACTGGATGCATAATATATAATCTGTTCAAAAAATGCATTTAAGTTCGCCCACTGGACTTCACTGGGCTTGGAGTGGAATAAGGTTTGAACAGATTTCTGGGTCTGTTCAGGGTTTCCGTGGAAGAAACGCCTACTTCTACCATCTTGACTTACATTCACTTGTACCTTGCAGTCTTCTGCTTTAAAATTATTTTCATTCAGTATGAATAAGGATAGAAGAATTAAGCTTCGAGTGGTAAAGTGGATGTATTTCAGAATTTGAAAGTGTTTATTTTTTTCTTTATCTTTCTCCTTCTTCTCCCCCTGCAACCTTTAGAGATTTGCCTGAAACAGGACCCAAATCCAGACAATGCTGAGTACTCAGCTTTGCATAGTCAGTGCCTTTTATTTTCTCAGACCTCAATGAATCGAGTCTTCTTTTCTTTCTTGCTTCATGCATATTCCATCTATAGCACATTCACAAAAAGTTGTGAAAAATAATGTTAAAAAAACCCCAAACCAACCCTTCTTGCATCTCATGTTAAGAAGAACTGACATTACCAATAGTCTCAATTTCCCATTCTTCTAATGAAGATCACAATTTAATGCAATATTGAGGACGTAAAAGTGATCTTCCAGTAAGAACATTATAAGACTTTTTCTAAGGCTGGCTCTTCAATTTAAAACTTTCTTGTGATCCATATAGAGTTGGTAATGCGCATGTTTTGTATTATATGCATGATTCAACTTTTAGAGTATGCCAAAGCCAGCTGGATTTGGGTCCATCAGAACCCTATCCTTAAAGAATTTTAAGAGGAAAACCGCCTACATTTCTTAGGCCATAAACTGCAAGATGTAATTATCTTGATAACCGTAACTCCCAGGACAATATTAAAGTCTATTTAGCATAGTGTTTATTAACATTTCTTACCCCCCACCTCAGCACCTTCTCAGCACTTTAGCTTAAGTCAGCATTATGTGCAGCCCCCATTCTTGGTTAAGACTAGAAACTTTTCTAATCTTTTGGTTTGCTTCCAGTTATATGACAATATCAGAAATGTGGGGGAGAAGCTATCAAATGGCATTTTTCAAAGTGAGAAACTCAGGTGGTGATAGAAGAAATGTTGAGGGTTCTTATTAATGTTGTTGGCTGTGGTTGATGTTACTGAATGACTGAAGGAGTTTCTAGGATAAAAACATTTGTGTAATTGGGGATGGAGGACAGGCTGAGTTGTTACCTTGAGTAGCTGATTGACAATTGGTAAGTTTTTTTCTGAAATTTCACTTAGTAATTGTATTGAATTTCAGCGAGATATTTTACAATGTCAGTAGAAAAGAATCTACCTGAGATACTAATGGTACAGAAGATGATCTGGATTAAAGCTCCCATGTTAACTTCTTATATCTTAGAGCAATTTAATGATACCAGCCCAGTGTGGTCCAGAGCCACAGAATTTGGAGGCAATGGAAGCTGATCTGTAGTCTAAGGTTTTTCTGCAGGCAGCTGCTAGAACATAATGAATCAACAATTTATTCCCATCAACAAATTTTTTTCATTTTCTTTTCGCAAAATACCTCATACTATGTTATTTCTGCTGTATGGAGAGGATATAAATCCAGTGGTTTGATTTCTACAGTCTAAAATTATCAACAGTTATGTTCAGGAACGAGTCAAACTGTAAAATGTGCATGTTCTTCTTGTCTTGTTTCTTACAGTTTGATGGAAAGCTTGTTACAAGACTCAATGAAACCACGGTGATTTTTTCTTCCCCACCAATACTGGAGGACCCAGAAAACTATAACATTACTACTATTATTCTAATGGATCATTATCATTTGGTTGTAAAAAATGAGAGCCACTCCTTTGCCTATGTTGCAGACCCAACATTTGAAAACTTCACAGATGGCATCAAAAAACAAGTCAACAAACTTATTAATGCAAAGGTAAACTTGTCAAGAGATGGTGGTTGCTCATTTTGTCCTTGACGCGTGTATGGAATTTTTCCTTCCTTTCTCAAACCCTTAACAGCTGTTTGGTACCATATACAAAATGCTTGGTAGAGTCCCTTACCTCTGCTAGATGATGAACATTGTCAACTCCCCTTTCCTCCCCCCTGCCCCTCTCAGAGATAGTTGCTGTCTTTTTAGCCATACTTTGGGTTTCCCAGGGATGCCCCCTCCTGCAGAGCCTGGCATTTGGAAATGCCCTCTGCCATAGAGCTCCCAAGGACTGGAGGGGACATCTCTTCTTGCACCAGGAAGGAAAGGAAAGGAATTGCATAATTCCCAACCACTCTCCTCTTCTGTACGCTGCAGTGCAAATCCCATCTGCTGCTAAAAATGATCCAAATGGAAAGTTGCAACTCAGGACTTCTTGTTTCCCAAGACTTTGCGATGATGACTTAGCCTTGTATTTTCTGTCTAGGGCAGTAACCTGAACAAAGCCATGACGATAGACGAGGCCCAGGCTTTTGTGGGTGACGAGCCTTGCAACATAAAAACACTAACTGAAACAGACTTATATTGTGAGCCACCGGAAGTACAGCCTCAACCAAAGAAACGGCAGAAGAGAGATACCATCAATAACCTTCCTGAATTCATTGTAGGTTACCCTTTCAATAGAATTTAATAACATGTGTAAGTGACACTGATACAGTGCTGCTTAATTGAAGTAATTTCTTCTCCAAAGTTGTAGTACTATGAAGAAACTCCTTGCAGTTCTTCCATCCTCCGGCTTCTGCCTGCTGTCTAGAAGACGTCACACGTAAAGAGTGGTCCCAAGCTGCCAAATGCTTTCTACCTTCATTACATAGGAATGTAAAATTGTAGCTATACAGGCTGGGGATTTTTCTTCCTCTGCTAAGCACAATAAAATTACTTCATGGAATAAAGTGCTAGTGACCTAAATTCAGTTCAAAATATTCAGAAATGTTTCCTTTGTCAGGTTGAGCTAGAAATTCACTTAGTGAGAATTACTAAGAATTTAGAGCACAACTGAGAAGTGAACCACTGTCTATTTGCACTTTTTGAGACAAATGTCTGTGCTTATCTAATTAGGTGAAATTTGGACTCCGGGAATGGATCCTCGGAAGGGTGGAATATGATACACGTGTGAGTGACATCCCACTGAATCTTATTTTGCCACTGGTACTTATTCCTATGATAGCAATCATCGTAATTTCTATCATCTGTTACAGGTAAGTTCCTTTAATTAGGTGTTTTTACTGTCCTAAAGCTTTCAAGGTACTACCTGATTTCAGCTCAGTCTACAGAAATTATCTTTGTCTTTTTTATGAGCTGCAGAGTTAAGAAAGGCAGTTACAGCTGGAAATATGTGTGAGCACCAATTTATTCCTCTCACGCACACCAAATTCCAGTCCATCCTGTGTACATAAGCACAACAATTGGTCCCAGGCTTGCCAAGCACACAACTGCAGACTGAGTTGCACACATACATTCTTGAAATGGCAGCTAAAGCACCTCTTGTGAAGGAGATAACTTATTCTGTATACATATCCATCACTGTTTATGCTGCCTCAGTCAGCACTGTAGGTCTGAGCTGGATGGATTTGGCTAAGGGGTCATTTTGGCCTTTCCGGATAAGTGTTACCCACACACAAATTTCACGATTAATGGTGAAAATCATGCTTCACAAAGGGCCAGAAAAATGTCTGTATTTCACTTAAGACCTACTTAGCCCAATGTTAAGGTTAGTGATGAGGGCCTCATACTGTTCCTCAGGAGGGGATGGATTTCACTCTTATGGTGCATACCAGTATAGCTGAAGAAATGCTGAAGAATGTCCTGTACAGCACTGATGTTCTCGCGGACCTCCTGCAACCTTCTCAGTTCAGTCCCAGACACATTCCTGGGTGACTGAGAGCCGGTGCAGGACATGTTGCAAGCAATCTTTTTTCAGTACATACAAATTGAGTTTCTGTACTTAATATGCGATTGAAAGCATTTGTAGCTACTGCTTATTGGATTTTAAATCGCTGGTCCAAGTGTGCTTTGAAGCAGCAGGCCCGTGGTGGTGCCATGTTGATTTACACAGAATGAAGACTTGGTCCACTGTTGCTGTTCTCCTCCTCCATTCTCTTTCTGTGTTTAAAAAGAAATTGAAACCAGGAAAATGTCCTCCAGTCCTTTGGCTTCCCACTCAGAGCTGTTGCAAATTATTTACTTTTGCAGTTTGTAACTTTTTTTAAATCTTACCTCTATTCCATAAAGACGCAAGAGCCAACAAGCAGAACGAGAGTATGAAAAAATTAAATCACAACTTGAAGGCCTGGAGGAGAGTGTCAGAGACCGGTGCAAGAAGGAATTCACAGGTATGACAGATATTTGCACTCCTGTGGGTTGTCTTGAGCAATCAGAAGATGGGCTGAGCAATGGTGCTAGCTTGCTAAAACTGTCTTCTGGGAACAAATAATTGGTAGGTCTTAGTAGTCTTGATTACTGACGTTGACAGATATTTTGTTATTATATATGAAAGCTGTAAATAAAATAAAATAGGGAGCTGAGGTTATTAAAGGAAATGGATAGTGTTACTCTAAAGGAAGCACAGAGTTAGCACCTGGGAAATAGAAACTAGTTGAGATTGGGGTTACTTATAGCCATTAATGTGAGTGGCCATTGATACGGAGGAAAGAATGTTTTATAGTGACTAACCGTGCACTTAGTATTTAGCACAATGGCTGTACGTGCCCAGTATGCACATTAAAAACTGTTTTCAGAGCTGCAAAATTTATTTGCAGCAATCAGCATACAAAGGGATAATTTGGCAAGCTCACAGGAAAGAAATAGCATTTTGCCCTGTTTACCATGGGAAAACCTTAAGCTTGATTTGAGGAGCTAGCTAATTGTTCTGTGTAAGTGTAGAGGCATCATCCCAGGGAAGGCAGCAGGAGGTGTGAAGGCTCAGCATTTCTACATGTTGAACTACTCATTGCAACACTTAAATTAGGCATCTGAGTGCAAACATTGCAAATATTGGCCTAAATGCTTACCATGAAATGTCACCTCATTATCTGAATTATACTTGCTGTTGGGTCATGTTGAAATAATCTTTACTAAAAAAATACCAACATGTTTTATTTCTAAAGAGTACTAGATTATTTCATATTGACAGTGGCTAAAAAGCAGGATTGAATTAAACAGCAATTTCAGGTTAGAGTTTGAAATTAATTTAAGAAGCTCAGGGTATCTCAAAAGATTTCAGCCATGCTGGAAGCCTCTTCCAGTATTGTTTTTCTGGCATTTCTGGGACAGGATGTTCTTTTCTTGTACCAGCTTGCTTTCTCTGGAAAACCGACTCCTTCCAGGTTCTAGACACAAACCAGAAGCAAATGTTTCTATCAAGAACTATTCCCAAAATGAGCTTCATTTCAAACTGCATTATGCACTGTGAGAGGACCGATCAAGGTTAACAGCCATCCCTCTGGCCACCTCTCCCATGGAACTTCATACCCGTTTCTGAACGGAGAAGGTGCCTTTCTCTTGCTGATGCCCTAGTAGGGGGCTACAGACTCCTGCTGCGTGTTGGGTTGAAGGTTTCCTCCCTGCTCCTCAAAGCACAAACACTGGGGAAGTAGAATGCACATCCAAGAAGTAATCCAGTTGCTAAACTCCATCCACCTTGGCTGATAGTAAAATGAAACACTGAAGTCAAAACACGTTCTGGATCTGTAATGTCAACAGCACAAAGTGCAGACAGTCTAAAATACATGGGACCAAAGATAGCCAAGGAAAGGGACATCAGGGAGGAAGTACAAATACCGCAAAGCTGGAAACTACAAGATGCTTTCTCCCTCAGCTTTGCTGAATGTTATAAAACAAAGAGGTAAATGAATGAATAAGAGCAATAAAATTGCTGAGACAATAGGTCACTATATTAATTAACATGGTGTTCTAGTCAATCAGCAATATTAGGTAATTGGAAAGCCTTCAGGTAGAATAGCTGCTCCAAAGGATGATTCCCTAATTGTTGTCCCTTTTAAGAACTTCAGAGCTTTTGAGTCCCACAGAAATGTTTCCATCAATTTCAATGAACCATTTAACCTTATTCCTTCCTGCCATCCCCTTCCTGCCAATTAAATTACCGTGCTTTACAGTTTAAACCTTTCTTTCCTTGATTGCTATGTGTTTTTTAAAAGAACTTTTACTACTACCTAGACTCAGAGGGAATAGAATATGCATTGAAGAAAAAAACAAGAAAACAATACTGCGGTGTCTTTTGTTGGCTCTGTGCTACAATCCTACATTTGTATATTTGAACTCACCCAGATGTCCATTGAGGCCCTTTTTCGGATAGGCAGCAACAAGGAAACCGTCTGTGCTAAAGGCAGTTATCCTCATGTCACCATAGGATTAGCTGTGGTCGTTGTTAACAGGATAATTGGTAAAAATAGCAAGAGAAAATGTGAGATGAAATAGAGTTTTTGGTGTTGAGTTGCTTTTTCTCCATTACAAGGCACCCAAAGAGATCGTGTTGCCTAAAAAAGCTGCAGGCTTTTTTTAAATGAACCTTTAAACTGTATTGCATATTCCAGATCTAATGATAGAGATGGAAGATCAGACAAATGACATCAATGAAGCTGGAATTCCAGTACTGGACTACAAAACCTACACGGACAGAGTCTTCTTCTTGCCCTCCAAAGACGGAGAGAAAGACGTGATGATTACGGGGAAGCTGGATATTCCTGAGGCCAGGAGGCAGACTGTGGAGCAGGCTTTGAACCAGTTCTCCAACCTCCTAAATAGCAAATCATTTCTCATTAATGTGAGTACTGAAGTAGGTTCGTCTTGTCTCTCAGCTAGGCATACCTGTGTGTGCAAGACAGTAGGTTTTCAAGCACAACTGAACCAAAATTATTAAAAATAAGTGATTTTCATACAGTTCTAGTTCCACAGTAACTGTGCAGATATGTGGCATCACAGCCAAAGCTTCCTGGTGGGGTGGAGAGGCAAGATCATATTTCTGTGCCAGGTCACGTAGTGTGGAGTTAGTCAACACTGCAGTGGCTGTAGGAAAACAGATATTACCCAATCTGGCATGAAAAGTGCTGTTACAAGTTTGTTTTAGCCTTTTAAGAAACGTGATCGGAGAATGCTGATTCCATCCTGGTTCATCACAGGAGTCACCTGCAGGCAGCCATCTGCTGGATCTCTGTCCCAGAGAGGCAGAGGCTTCTCAAGTGACCTATTCATCGAGATTGATGAGTGCTCACAGCAGCTCTGAAGAGACTTCTTCTAATTGCTCACTCTCAAAAACGGAGGCTGATTGTCAGATACCTAAATATAGATTTAGTATAGATTTAGGCTTCTAACTTTTTCTCCTTTTTTAAATGAGGCTCCAGTGCTGAGCTAGTTAATGGTAGCATTACAGTTTATGGCAGGTGAGAGTGCATTCCCAGGTTTACTTAGATTAGTGTCTTTGTAATTTGATGTGAAAGGACTGGGAATTTGGGGGAAAGGGGAGTTGATTTTCTCTTTTAAAAAATTTACACAGAACACCTTTTTTCATTTGATTAAAGCATGCTTTTTAGATAAGGCTTCAGTTAAAGTATATAAGCATTCCTTGGGTTAGTCCAGTACACTGTGTGTATATCTCAAAACGAATTATAGGCAACGTTTTCTTATAAGCAGTTTTTTCAAACTTGAAAACTTTTCCATTCTGTGCTTAGATTAATATTAAAATAATATTGCTTGTCTTCGTAGTGCAGACAAGTGTTGAGGTTCTTCAGAAACCTGTCATCTGACTTGATTTTACTTTTTTTTTTCTGTTTCAGTTTATTCACACACTGGAAAACCAAAGGGAGTTCTCTGCTCGAGCTAAAGTGTACTTTGCATCTTTACTGACAGTTGCTTTACATGGAAAATTAGAATACTATACTGACATCATGAGGACGCTGTTCTTGGAACTGATGGAGCAGTATGTTGTGGCCAAAAACCCAAAGCTGATGCTAAGAAGGTTTGAATGATGGTCATATTTTCTGTAGTTCTCTGGTTTTCTGTAAATGTATTTCTTTTGCAATGTGACCGTATTAAAATGCCAACTATCTGTGAAAGTCAGAAATAGCCTGGCCCAAGCATATTAGGAAGACAAGCTCACCAGGAATAGCCGTGGAAGGCACAGGCAGGACTGCTGGCAACAGATTTCCTTATTCAAATACTGTAGTGTAGGATCTGCATCGAGATTACTGAAACATCTACCTTACTTCAAAATACAATACCAAACATTTCATTTACTTTTTAATCTAATTTTATTCCAAATGATCTAGCATTTATATCACACATCATCTCCATAATGAGCACACATTGTGCTCAGTGAGGGCTTGCTCTAGTGTTTTTAACCCTGTTGTTATCCCAAGTAAGTTACAAAATACTTTGCTCTGTGCATGTTGTAGCTAATCTGTAGGTTATTTCCCAGTAGCTGCACAACTGGGTTAATTTTTTAGCTCTTACAGCATAGACCCAGTTTAAGATTTTGCATAAAGGATGTGTGCTTTTCAGTAATGAGCAGAAGGTACCCAAGAATGATAAGCGATACAAAGCACTTATCCTAAAGCAAGGATAAAGACTCTATAGGGAAATCATTGCATTAGGAGAGTGCATGCAGTTAGGCATGTAAAAATACTATATTTCAAGCAAGCAATGTTTTTCTTTAAAGCTTTGTCATTAAGTACCCTTACCATACTCGGGGTTGTTTTTTTTCAGATCTGAAACGGTTGTTGAGAGAATGTTGTCTAACTGGATGTCTATTTGTTTATATCAGTACCTCAAGGTAAGAGTTGAAGTCTGTTGCCTGCGGGGTTTTTTTATCAATAATACTTGAACATGCAGCATTGAGTATATCTTTTGGTTTTGCTTTATTTCATTTCCTTTCCTTTAAACAGGACAATGCAGGGGAGCCTCTTTATAAATTGTTCAAGGCTATCAAACACCAGGTAGAAAAAGGCCCAGTGGATGCTGTACTAAAGAAAGCCAAATATACATTGAATGACACGGGCTTACTGGGAGATGATGTAGAGTATACGCAGTTGGTAAGCAGAGCATGATTAATATATTACAAAATCATTTTTTCTTTTAAAATTAAGTCCTGTAGTGTTAAGTCTGTACATACTTTTCTGGACTACTGTGATCTGCATAGAAATTCTGGTCATGGGCAAGACTGTTGATAGTTTGACAAAAGCAAGTCTCCAAGCAGGAAAATAGAATTATAAAGTATCTTCTAAGCATTAAATCCAAGTCCTACCACTGTGGAATCCATTTCAGTAAATCCCTTTGATAATTTTCAAAGTCTGTCTGAACAGTGGTCGGGGTGTTTGGCTTCTTCCCTTCTCCCATCTAAATTAACTGGCAATTGATTTTTGCAGAATTCTTGCGCTAACATTATGCTTGAACTTCGGGTTGTCTTTCTCCCTTGTGATTGCTGCTTGTCAGCACATCAAACGTCATTTTAGAGATTATTTTGTTAGTATACCAGGATGAGCTCCTCTACAGGCCTGTGAGATGGCTCTGCAATCTACAAAACACCTTATGAACCTATTTCTGCAGTATGTCCCTGTGTGAGTCAAACTCTCCTGAACATGGGCAGCCCAACTGGCACTGAAAGGGGCTTATTTCCACCTAAGGAAATAATTCCCTACAGTGATGAGGGGAAGCTGCCTCTACAGGCAGTTCTGGAGACCTGAGTTAGATGCTTCAAGTGGGATGAAGTGGACATTCCTGCCCCAGGAATTCCCCATCTGAGCTCCACCACCCCCTGAATCTGATCACCGGTGCCATGGTCCAGTTATCTTCTATTATGAATTCTGCTTTGACTTAATTCTGTTCACTGTCACAAATTTCCACCACTTTTTCAACCAGAATCCAGCACACGGATTCACTGTCTTTTTAAAAAACTGAAGCAGCCCACTCTTTAGCTGTTTAGAGAGCGTAAATTCTAATTTTACTCTTTCTGACAGTCTTGCTGTTTTTTTTCAGGATACAGTGTAATGAATATCAAAGATGCATAGACTGTCCTTCAAAGACCAACACAGGATTTTTTTTTCCCCTCTCTGATTTCTCTTTTATTGACATGTTAGGAGCCATTTGTGGTTGTCTCCAACTGAGAAAGATGCAGTGACATATCTGCGGTGTTGAAAGAGAATCTTAATAGAAAGCTTTATTAAGTCCTGGTAAAAAAAAACACCATTTTGTGTATTCTCAAGGGATGCTGATGGGAGGGCTGATGTGAGGAGATTGCTGTAGGACTTTCACTCACAGAATCACTAGACTGTGACCTAGACTGCATGGAGGAAAAGGGTGTGCTGGGCAAGAAGAAATATTTTAAGTTCAGTTGATACTTTGGGGATTAGTTGAGTTGTCATCTTCATATCTGAGCTGAAAGTGCCACCCATAGAAACCACACTGACAGGCAATGCTGGTTATATTTTCTCTTGCGTATGGAGAACAAAATTAACTTGGACTCTACGTCATGTAAGACTTAATGGCAATAATTCTTCATTCAGTCTGTTTCTTTTCACAAAAAAGCCAATGCCTGCAATTAAGCTATATGAATGCAGTGTGAAAGCAGAAAATTTGTGTATGCGGTCAGATGTGGGCACAACAAGCGTACTAGCTAGATATTATATATTATAACATTGTACAGTAGCAGTATTTGGTCCAGATTTACAGATTTCCCATCAAACAAAGATTTTATTTGTGTGCGTGCATGGAAGATGATGGGATATATGTGTGTATATATGTATGATGAAAGATTATGAAGGGGGTTGCTATTGCTATAAATTATTGGGATCTTTGGCATGATGATGACATTGTTGTGGTAACTGTGAACAGTTAAGGAACATTTATGCACCAAGGTAGGTTAAAGCAGGAGTTCATTAGTTCACTTCTGCCTCAAAGTGAGACACGGTGGGAAAGTATGGTATAGAGCAGTTGTCTGCTCTCTAATTGTTCTTATTTAAAAGATGAATCTGTTTTGCATCACTGGTTACACTGACATGCTGCATACTGAACCAGCAGCAAAATCATGTCTAATTACCATAAAGCTAATAGGAAAAGGAAGGTGAAATCTCGTGATTAGTTTGAGAGTTCTGTCAAGGGACAGTGCAATCATGTTTAATTTGACTGCCGTATGGTGTAGCTTTTCTTCACTGTTTAAAAATACCAGCCATGCAAGTTTATTTCTGAGGTTTGAGATGATAAATTCAGGCATTACCGTTGGCAGGACCATATGTATCTGAGAGCTGCAATGCTTTGGATGTGCCTGGCCTCCAAAGCTACCTGACTGGCAAAAGATCCGCGAGGGCTCTGAGCTGTTGTACTGATTCAGCTAGTGAAAGAAAGAGGCTTTTCACAGCACCTATTTGGTTTTAGTGGGTTTTTTTCCTTCTGGGGAGGTTTCCTGGCCATCGTTTTCTCATTTGCTTTTGTCTGTATTGAAACTGACACATATAGTGAAGCTACTTTTAAAAAAATCACTCTAGATTTAGTAAATTACAGGCTTTCAAGAAGTGCTCTTTAACATTAAAAAAAAACACGTCAATACTATCAGAAAACAGTAATATTTTAGAACTAGCATAAACTACTTAGGTGTATTTCCTGGAGCTATTAGAGTTATTGTGACAACAGTAAGCAGTAAATGAAGTCTTTGAACACCAAAGATTATATAAATGGCTTTTATATATACACATATATGTATGTGTGTGTGTGCATATCTAATGAACAGCTGGTCACAGGAGGTAAAGTTACAGGAGTGAACAAGTCACTGTTCATCAGTTGAGCCGTGTTAAATCACCATGTGTACAGACCTAGGCAGCTTGACTTGAGAAGTAAAACTACAACCATGAAGACAGCATAAAGGAAGCCAAAAGCACACAATATTCTACGAGTTCAGCAAAGTGCAGCTCAAATGACTATTGGGAACTCGTTAAGCTTGGGCACTGCATTACTTGTGCTTTTCTATGTGCCAGGTTATCGTGCTATATGAGAAGCATGTAACTAGTCAGTGGTCCAGCTGCTTTGTTCTTGTGCGTCCCCCTTTAATAAATTCCCAAGACTCAGTAAGAGTAGCATATTAGTCAAGAGTAAATCTATTCTGCATCTTTTCTGTTTTGTCATAGTGGGAGGAATTAGCTGGAATTGACGATAGCTGGTTGGCTGCATAACAGCGAAGGATCCCTCAAATAATCCATATTCCCATTGCAAATATATGCTGCTGTGCAATAATCATTGCACAGTGAATTTTAGATATTGTTTGGATTTAAATCACCCAGAAAAACAGATTCAGAGGTAATTCAGCACTGATTTGTCTTAATAACTGTGTACATTCTTTTTTTTACAGACAGTAAATGTATATGTACAAGATGGAGGAACCGATTCCATACCTGTGAAAGTGCTGAACTGTGATACTATATCACAAGTAAAGGAAAAGATAATAGACCAAGTCTATCGAAATCTGCCATGTTCTCAGTGGCCAAAAGCTGAGAGTGTAGTTCTTGGTACGTAGCTACTTGTGGTACTATATTGAGCAGGTGAAACATGTTGTGTGATTTTGTATTTTCCCAAAAAATGTCTATAAAAGCAATTTGTTGTTAAAAAAAAAAAAAAGTTGAATTAATGTTCAGCTGGATGCAAAATTACAGCATTTTGCAGCAATCTTAATATGCATTAAAAATTAATGCTTTCGTACAGAGTTCTTTTTCCTGACTCTTAAAGTTTTGGTGTACTGTCATTAGTGTGCAAAGAGCCTGTTAATGACTGTTAGCACAAATGTATTCACGTCTGACAGCGTCAGTATCTCAGGTACTAATTAATGTGATAGTGACAGCATGGACAATTAACTGATGGAGAAGTAATGATGCAATTTCAGAAACTGGTACTGATTTTGACTTGCCTTTATGATGGTTATTCAAAAGAATTATAATTTATAGGAGTTGCACTTTTAGGAGATGATGAGCCACCCAGCCTCTGAAAATCATCCTCCTTGAAGGCTTTCAAAATTGCTGTTCTCTTCTTGAGGGGAAAAAAAAAAAAAGACGTAACTTAAAAGGCCTAATAATCTCATCATAAAGGCTCCAATTAATAGTTTTGCAATATCTTCATTACTGCCTTAATCTGAAAGTAGAAGATGCAATTCTTGCTCTTCAGAAAATCCTAGTAAATTACCTAAAATTGCCTTTTCAGTTCCATACAAAGTCCTACTCCTCTCTTTTGGACTGATAGCAGTTCTTATTATATATATTTGTAGTATTCTATGCAAAGGAATTTAACTTTCTGTGGAAAATAATCAGAAGTCATGTGCATGGTTAGGAATATGTCATGCAAACTTCTGTAATAAAGGCCAAACTATTAAGCAATAAAAACCACACATCATGGCATGTGCCAAATTACTTCTTTTAATGTTCCACAATACGTCAGTAGGTCTCTAAACTGAAACATTCTTGGAGTAGTTACTTTTGCACGTGGTTAAAAACTGTTTTTTCTCATTTTAATTACTCCTTAGAGTGGCGTCCAGGTTCTACTGCACAGATCCTCTCAGACTTGGATTTAACATCCCAAAGAGATGGCAGATGGAAACGTATCAACACACTAATGCATTATAATGTAAGGAGGTGTTTCAGAGCAGTTGTTCACATCTGTTAACTGTTCTCTAGTAATAAATAAAATCTTTATTTGTTTTTAGAGAAATTTCTGTGCTACATAAAGAATCAAAAAAAAACCCTAGCTCTGGGTCTAGGCAGTAAAAGGTCGGGAGCATGAAAGGCTAGGTCTGGACATATTGCCTAAACATCTTACCAAAAACACGTCACCTAAATGCCAGCACTTTGGTTTCCTCATCATTGCATTGTCCAAATCCAAATTCCCCTTTGAACATTCAAAAGCTCCTTTTGCTAAGTCTCGTATTCATCTCTTCTTTTCTCTACCACTTCCTACCCCTGAGAATTATCTTTGCCCTTGCTCTGCTGCTAAATGGATTTTGGGTTGGTCTGGTTAGTTCAACAGCCCAGTCAGGAGAGCAGATGTTGACGTTTTTGTACTGTCTGTTTTAGGTTTCATACTGTGCACTCTACCAAGCACTTGCAATCCACTTACCTTCCCTTTGTATGCTATTTATTGCTTTCTAACAACAGATATCCTGATTAGGAAAGATAGAAGTTAGTTAGTTTTCCCTCAGAAAACAGACAGGTCCAATTCTTCAGATTACAGAAACCACAGTTTAGGTGTTAAGAAAGAGGTTCAGTAGTGCATACTTCTTTCCAGTAACATCCCTGCGTTTGTATTTCCAAAGGTCCGAGATGGTGCCACGCTCATCTTATCAAAAATGGGAATTTCCCAGCAGCCAGAGGATAATCAGCAAGATGTCCCAGGGGAAAGTAAGTATCTTGTGGCTTCACTACCTCCCAATATTGTCTAGAAGTCAAAACCCACACAGAGGGAGTGACACTGCTGTCTTGATCTTGTTTATCGAGCATGTCTGTGGAGCTAGACATTCCCCACCAGACTATATAGGGCTTATTTGTTGTGTGTTACCCACTGCACACTTGCAATGGTTTTCTTTGTCCTCATTATAAAAGCCTTAAACAATGGGGCTTTAACCATAATTGCTGTGAGCCCATACCCCAGCTTAATAGAAGCCACTCTTAGCAAACATTTCCTTGCATATTTTGTTTCTTAATCCCACTACATCTATAGTCAAACCGTATGTTTCATCTTTCCAAAGCTTTATCTCTTTTCTTCCTTCCTTCTTCCTTTTCTTACTTTCCTCTCCAGATTTCTTCCACTTCTTATTAGACTGAGAATTGAATGCAGTGTTCTAGATGAACCACAGTAGAGACCAGCTCCCCTCTCTGTGACATAACGGATCTGATGTAATTTTTTTTATTGCATTTCTTACAACTATGTTGCCTTGCAAACTCATCTCTGTACATTCATATTTTGTGTCTCCCTTGCTTTGAGTGATGTTTCACCAGCTATGCTAGCTTGGTTTTTCCAGGGTTTGTTGATTGGCTTTGTTCATTCCATACATGTTATCTCTTTAGATGCAGCGTTTTCCACAATTCCTTTGTTCTTTTTGAGGTTTGCAATCCACTGTAAGTTAGTGTCAGGAATTTCCTTATAATGTTTCCTCTCTTTCACATCACTAAAGCAGCTGTTGCATAATTCTTACATTGCTGTCTGCTACAGTATGCTGGACTTCTCAACACGAAAGACAACCTGTTAGCTTGCAACCCGTCTTTTAAAGCTTTTACTTCTACATGTTAGTATTCTGTCTAGACCAATTTCCTCTATCTCAAAACCTCTTGAGACACAATATCCATTACACAGCCTAAAATGCACTCAGATTTTTATGGAAATATTTGCTTGTAAATTTATGTTCTTTGTCACACGTGTTTCCTTTACATTTCAGATGTTCAGTTTCTCTTTTTTTTTGTCCTTATATTCAGTTATTTTACACGAGGTAGAAGGTAGATTTATGGAACGATAATTGTTGAGATCATTCTTCCTTCTATGAATTCATTTGATATGCTTTTCTGTCTAGCACTGATTGCAAAAGCCATTGCTTCACCTAACAGTTTCATTCCTTTAAACAGATTTACTGATCTTAGATTTAATAGGTCTTAAGGGCTGGGCAGTCAAACAGATTGGAATTAATATGCCAGAAATGTACATTTTTCAAAAAGATGGGTCTCAGCTGATAGCTCTGACATATATCGCTATTTAACAAAAATGTGCAGACTTCCATTTCATTTCTGTTGAGTGTTGGCCAGGAAACTAGGACGAGCAGAATTACTTGCCTTTTACTTTTTACTCTGTCCTCTTGGATGCTTTCCGTTGAGACTTTCTCCAGCATCCTTGAAGGGTCTTCTAATGGTTGTGGCTACACCTCTGCTGCTATCCTGTCGCCCCTTTACTGCAAGTGCCTGCCATAGCTAGCCAAGTGGTGACTACTCTGTCACAGCAGGTTAACTTAAAAAGCCATCCAGTTTAATATAGAAGGCAGTGAAGTACAGCCAGGCGAGGAGCTGATTCCTAGTCCCTGTTCAGTTTGATTGCACTGATTGCTGATATAACTGCTGAGGCGGTAGTCTCCTCCACTCTGAAGAAGTGGAGTGGACCATGAATGGAGCCTGGTGGTGTCCTTAGCTTGCTTTGCTTTCTTAACACAGAGCAGTGTTCAGTCTCCCGTTCTGGGCTCCCGGTCTTCATCCTCCCCACCTCGCTACCCTTGTGGCAGGCAGTAGAGGACCACACCATGTGGTTTTCTTTTTTGTTGGTTTTTTTTTTCTTTCCTCCTTCTCTACTATTATATTTTTAGCTATGATTCAGTATGATGAAGCTCTATGAACATGCATGATCTGTACTCCAAGATGAACTCCTTAGTTATACGTGTGGCATATTAAATTGTAAAGGAAAAGCAGACTTCTGGGGACAGTGCTGTCACATGAGGACTCTCGTACACGAGAGAAAAATCTGCAGAGAGAATTCAGATCCCAAAGTATGGAGTAAAGACAACTTCCACCATGTTTCTTCTCCACACCCTGTCTTGCACCATGGTAGTGTACAAATTCCAGAAGACAGCATTTCGTGCCAGGCTAGCCCATTTTCTTTAGTGCCAGAGGGTCCTCAGAGCTACCTGGGGCCAACTTGTTCTTTCGGAAAGCTATAGAATGTTACGAAGCTAGTGCAAAGCGAGAGCCTGCAGTGACAGTGATTTGTGAGACGCTGTGTGTATAAAAGGGAGAGGAGAGGATCAGAGGCTTCCCCTCCCACACATACACATTTATATGACACGGGGATTTACAGGGTTGGAATAAATAGAAATCCTATCCTGGCTTTATGAATGAGGCTTGTGACAAAGTGGTTTTCCTTTTATTCAGAGTCTCTCATTAACTTGCACCTTTTGCATTGAGAAGTGTCAGCTGAAGCCATTGACTCTCTGCCAAAGCACTAGGCTTTGCACAGAACAAAAATGTAAAACCATGTTCAGAGATGTTGCTCTAAAACCTGGCATTGCTTCCATGCTGCTTTTGATTCACAGCTTCTAACAGGAAGACACTAGAAGCTGGAGGTTGTGACAAATTAAATGCAGCATCTTTTGCTTCTGGAGATAATAAATGCAATTTGTATCAAGACGGAGAATGGTTTCAATGATTTCATGCTAGTATTTCTGTACTGAACTATGAGCCAAAACAACACGCTCTGTTATTCTGGGGTTTTTGTCTGGGTTTGTGGGGGTTTTTTTTCCTTTTTTAATTCTGAATAAAAATAGACAGAGGGTTGCAGATCAGAAATACTGATTAGCAGATCCATGTAGGGCAGCCCTTCCTTCACCTCCATGGAGTGGTGTATTCACATGGGGGGGAGGAGACTGGAAGGAAGCTAATTTGCTGCAGGCCACGCAAGGGGAAAGGGGCTGTGTTGCCTGTCACCATCTCATCTGCCTCCATCCTGTTTACATCATGGTTCATACCACTATAATCAGTCAGCGCAGTTAATATTTGGCATTAACCCCCCCAGCGTTATTTTATATTGGCCAAAGAATGCCCAAGGGCCAAGACAAAGAGTTCGGGGGGAAGCATTTGACCCAGTGGGCGCAGTCTTCTCCCCGCTTACGGCTTGATGCATAATGTGGCTACCGCAATAAAAAAGGAGGTGTTTTCCCCTATCTTTTATTTTCTTCACCTCCTACTTTTCCATTGGGGAAAATATTATCTCATAGAAATGTTATTTTCTCTTAGCAACCACACTGCTGACATATTTTGTTGCCCCACGTTCTGAATTTCTCTTCTTCTTTCTTCCTGCTATTTTTAGCAATGAAGTGGGATCTTTGTGTTGCAGAAGTTCATCTGGTTGAGCTGTAGTCTTTTAATCCCTACTGTCCTATGAAATAACTACTATTTCACTAGTAGCCAATTTTGTTGTTGCTAAACAAACACGGGGCAAATTAAGCTGCACATAAGGGCCAGTAATCTCAGTGGAAACGCCTTTGGTTGTTTCTCTTCTCTTCAAAGTTAAATTGGGCCCTATACCATCAGGAGGGCAAAGAGAGGATAAATTCCTTTGAATCAAAGGAGGAAGCAGAAGTGTACCAAGCAACTGACATAAGGCTGGAAAATAGTTTCTGCTCTAACTGCGTGATTTGATCTATTAATTTACAAAAGTAAATAACAGGCATTGCAAAAGAAATTCCAGACTTCAGGCCCAGCAGCGGTTCTTACTGTACTGACGGATGATTGCTATGAATGGTATCGATTGTGAAATCGCAGCTGCTTCAAAATAAAGTGATAGCTTTTATTTCTTTCTTGCTTCATTCACGTGAACTTCCACGTCAAATTAAGGACTCTCAAAGGACAACGTGATTTAGTATGGGATTTATTTTTTTCCCCTACTTGGTTAAAAAGAAGTAGAGGCTCCAGAAGACTGCATAGCTAATGCTTTTCATGAGGATATATAAAGTAGATTCAAGCAGAAGCGCTGGCTTGGCCAGATTACACATAAATGTTATTTTCCCCTGTGATGTAAAATACTGAACATACATGCAAGCTGGTAAATTTAATGTAGCTGTTGAGGAACTTAGTTAATAAACTACTATGGCCAAAAATTTAAAAGGACAAAATTAATGCAATTAGAATTGCATTTTCTGCTGTAACTGGGATTCAGTTATGTTAGATACATGTATTAAAGCATAAAACTTAGCAGTAATGCAAAATAATTTGTGCAATAGGGCTGAATCACAATTTTTATGGGAAAAATAACTTTCACATTTTTAAGATGTCAATGATTTTAAATGCACTGATTCAGTAACTTCCACTGGAAAAGCGCCATTGATTTTAGGGACTATGCCAAGTAGATATAAAAATTCAGAAATTAAAGGGAGAGCAAGCAAAACCAGGAGATTTGAAACCAAGTTTGTGACACAGAATCTTTTTTCAAGGGATATTAATTGCAAGTTAAAACAATTGTATCATCTCTTTTAGAACTGTTTGTAACAAAAGATTCTCAAGCATAGAGTTTGTCTGAACGTTCATGTTGATGCTGAAATGCAAGACTCCCTTTATTCCAGTACATGATCATTGAACTAAGCTCAGGGACCAGATGCATGACCAAGCCACGGATAGCATAGCGAGGCACCGTAATCAGATGAGCTGTCATTAGCATCCAGGTGCTTACTCCTGTTTCTGGTATATGGTAACAGACTTGATGTGAGTCTCTTTCTCTGGTTTAAGCTATGAATACTGACAAATTAAAAAATCTTATTATAACGGATTATGAATTTGCTGCAGTCATTACCTCTGTCTGCTGGAGTTCACATCCTCTCAGCAAAGGGTTGCATTTTTCCTCCTTTCAGCTACAAAGTCAAGTGGTGCTGGTCAAATGCTGATAAAGGCAGGTTTGAACTGAGGTACCATACTTTGAACTCAGTAGTTAGGGTAAAAATGTAAATTGTAATGGTGATGCCTAGAAAAAAGGTTGAGATCATAAATTCTTAAATTGCCACTGCCAAATTCACCAGAGCTGCTACAATATCTTGCCTTGTACCTGGAGTAGGCTACGATTGCTCTTTCTGTGGTGGCTGTTGGGTCAGACCTAGCTGAGTTTCTGTAACTTGATCATGTCTCCGAGAATTCACAAAGAGGTAGAGTACTTCACTGTGTGGACCTCAAAAAATACACATACTGGGCTTATGTGACAGAACAGGAGTTTCCTTATTGTGTGATTCCTTCCTCTCCCTTTGCTCTTGACAAAAGCAAGCTTTTCCAGCTTATGTATTATTGAACATTTAGTACTTGAGTATATGTCTATATACACTTGTATACGTTGGACCGGAACAGAGTAATCTAGATCCTCTTAGCAAGAGGACAGGTATGTTAAGGATAGCAAACAAAGATCTTATATGTACTTATGTATACAATTATTTTCGTGATGCTGTTTTGGGTGTGGGGCGTTTTATGTAATTACTGCAATTACTGTTTCTAGGGCATGCACTCCTGGAAGATGAAAATAAGGTCTGGCATCTAGTCCGGCCAGTAGATGAAATAGATGAAGGTAAATCGAAGCGGGGCAGTGTGAAAGAAAAAGAGAGGACCAAAGCTATTACAGAAATCTACCTGACCAGACTTCTTTCTGTGAAGGTAGGGTTCAGATGTGCCACAGTTACACCTTGCTTCTATAGATTTTGAGGTACAACTGAAGAAAATGATGCAACTATTAGTCATGCTTTTGGCTGCAGTTTTGAATGTGTCATGTACATACAAGCTGGTGTTCAGGGCTTCAAGTGATTAATATGCCCTGAGGAACATTACTGGGAAAGAGATAAAGTATAACTCCCGATCAAAGCTGAGAACCATGATTATATGTTTGTTAAATAAGGATTTTTCTTGCAAGACAGAGATGGATATTCTCCTCTGTGACACCTGTTTAGATAATATTTTGTGGATTTTCTTTTGAACCAAATGCTTTAAAAACTGCTACAGAGCCTTATATTTCCCTGTTCTTGTGTATGACCAATGCTGCAGTATAACCTAGAAAAATAAAAATGTTTTCAAATCATAGTCCTTTTAGAGTATTTTTAGTGCTTATACTGCAGAATAGATCACAAGCAAAATAATTTTGTGAAGCATTCCTCCTTGCAGAAAGAATTCAGAATAATGTGTCTAACGACCCTAAAGCCAGGCTCCTCGTGAAAATGAGGGTGGTCTGGCTCCAGCTAAGGCCATTTGTCCAAGTGTGAAAGTGGATGTGAAGGAAAGTCTGTGCATAGATGACATAGACTCAGGACAAAGAGCCAGCAAGATGCTTACATCCCTCTCTTCTGTTAATAACTCCTTTGCAGCCGCTGCTTTTCTATTCCCAATAGCCAGTATATAGATTATTACCAGTCTGGAGCTTTACTAACTCGTACAGAGCTGGTGAGGTGTTATGGCTGGGACCACAGCTACCCCTACAACCCAAGGACCGTCGATGTGTCCTTGCTGACAGCAGAGTGGCTTAGGGCTCCTTGCCTTCTCGGTCACTGCCCTGTTCTGAGGCTGGCAGCTGGAGTGACGGTGAGAGAGGGGATGCAGCCCTTCAAATATGTCTGTAGGGCTAAACAGTTGAGCGGGGACAAGCTGCATGTGGCCTCAACAAGGTCATCTCTAAACAAGGGGACAGTCTCTGAAGTCGCAGTCTCTAAGGTCCAGGCAGATGCAGGAATCCAACCAAGCACACTGCCCTCCTGGGACACTTCACTCCTTGGGCTCGGTGGAGCTCATGGAGCTGGGCCAGACTGGGTGTCTGATGAGACCCAAGTGCTTGCCCTTAAACAAAAAGTCAAATACTCACTGGTACTTTTCCTCTCAGTCTCTTTCTAAAAATTGCATGGTGCTCTGGAGTCAGAGAAACTGGAGGTGTGAAGCTGCAAAACCATTAAAAAATGGCTAACAATTATTTTATGTGCACAACAACCCTGAAATGTAAATGTGTTGTATACTTAGCAACCAGTTTCTGCTTCTTCTGTCAAGCAGAAAGCACACCTTTCTGTGCAAACCACCGAATAGTCACAACCTTTCGGGATAGAACATAAAATTGTTCTCTAGAAGGTCTTTACTGAGTTGGCAGTTTGCAAGGTCACTGCACTAAGAAGTTGCTTGTTTTTTGTCACCCCGTACCCTTAGCACTCGGGATGAAGGCCATCAGTGACTGCAACTGGATTATGGCCTGTTAGTGTCAATAGGAATAAAAGATTCTAGGGGGGCACCGAGTTCAGCCTGCAACACAATGTTGTGGTTTAACCTCAGTCAGCAACTGAGCACCACACAGCCGCTAACTCACTCCCCCCCACCCTGGGTAGAAGTGAGAAAAACTCGTGGGTTGAGATAAAAACAGTTTAATAATTGAAATCAAATAAAATCATCATCATAATAATAATAGTAATAATAAGAATATACAAAGCAAGTGATGCACAATGCAATTGCTCCCCCCCACCCAACCGATGCCCAGCCAGTCCCTGAGCAGCGGCCGCCCCGGCCAGCTTTCCCCCAGTGTATGTACTGAGCATGACGTCACATGGTATGGAATATATATATATATGTGAGGGCGCACAGCAAGCTCACTACCCCGGACTTCAGGAGAGCAGACTTTGGCCTCTTCAGGGATCTGCTTGGTAGACTGCCATGGGACAAAGCCCTGGAGGGAAGAGGGGCCCAAGAAAGCTGGG